ATATATATATATATATATATATATATATATATATATATATATATATATATATATATATATATAGTAGAATCGGAGTTCAGAAAAGTGCCCAGGAACAGGGCTCAAGAAATCATAGGGCCCACTTTTTCTTTAGCATTTACAATAGTCTATATTCGGTTAACGGCCCTAAACAAATTAGGTTAATCTTTTTATCCATGTAGTCGACAGAGTGAGCGGGAAAACTGAAATTTCTGGAAAAGAAAGAAAACGCTTCGATTTCTGTGGCATGAATTAAATCTTTCTTGACAGGCAACAACGAACGGTATTAATGTTTGCTTCTTTTTAACCCATCAGTTGATTTCAATTTCAGAGGCAATCAACAATCAAAATTCTTTTTCTTTCTACACGAAACTCTGAAGCAACGATTTAGTTTCCATTCGGAGGCAACGATTTAGAAGCTTCAAGTTTCTTACCCGTTTGAGATTTCGAAATCAGAAAATAAGATTAAGGTATTTCAATTTTTTTATGGGTTGTTACTTCTTTTTCTTCTTCTGTTTAGTTTTTTTTATCTCTAATTTCTGATTTTTCATTTATTTATTTTAGGTTGACTATTTCTAATCAATAATCAGTTTCCAAAATCGGAGGAACAATGATATCAGTTTTGAAATTTGAAAATCAGAACTAAGAAGGAACAAGGAATTGAGGAAATCAATTTATGGATTTTGAAGGTACAAGCAAATCAATTTCTATATTTTTCGTTTTTGATAAATTTTTGATTTGTAAGAAGTAATTCAAATTTTTTTTGTGATTTCTTTTCATGCATTGTTTCTATGGATGTAAACGAACTAAACGAACACGAACATGACTTGTTCATATTCGTTCGTTTAAGTTAACCGAACAAATGAACGAACACGAACGGATAAACGAATGAGTTTTCTTGTTCATATTCGTTCTTTTAACAAATTGCATTGTTCATGTTCGTTTATTTATATTTATGAACATGCTAAACGAACGAACATAAATGAACAAAAATAAATAAACATAATTTGAACATATATAAACATAAATGAATATACTATAATATAGTAATGTAATAAAATACAATTAAACATATATGAAGAAAAAAGGAACTTATATGAACGAACATAAATAAACGTAAACAAACAACATAAATGAACGTTCACGAACATAATTGAACGAACGAGATTATTGTTCATGTTCATTCGTTTAACTAAACGAACGAGAATTTATGTTCATGCTCGTTCATTTGTTAAATAAACGAACATAAACGACCTTCCCGCCTAACGGTTCATAAACAGTTCGAACTGTTCAGTTCGTTTACAGCCCTAATTGTTTATGATTTCAGATTTATGTTCTTTTTTTCTTATTGATTGTAAGGGTCAAAAATCAGAGAATTTGGGATCGGGTCTAGGGGCAAAAATCAAATGGTGTTGTTTATTTTTTATCTATCTTGTACGTTTATGATGTTCTTTAGAAGTAAATTCGATTTTTTTTTTAATTATTTTTTATTCATGTTTTCTCTAATTCTGAAGATTGAAGATTTGTCCATTTTAATCCCTTTTTGAGGTTTGCGTGTTTCTAATTTCAAATTAAGCTATTATACATTTTTTTTGTCTATTTCTACATTTATGATATTATTTATAAGAATATCAATTTTTTTTTCAATCTTTATGATTCCTATTTTCTAGAATTCAAAAGCATTGAAGCAACAACCTGTTGACTTTCATTCCGTGTTTGAAGTTTACAGGTTTTTGATTTCGGAATTTTTCTTGAAGTAGGTCGAAATTTAGAAGGTAAGTTCTTGAATTCTGATTTTTTTTATTAGAAGCAAGTCAATTTTTTTTTCTAATAATGTAATTTAACTTTTTAATTTGATTTATGTTTTTTACAGCTATTTGTGAAGGACAAATGTGTTATGCTTTACCAAAGTTTTAAGAGAAATAGGATAATAGAAGCAATTTTATTTTTTCTATATTATTTTGAATGAAATTTTAAAATATGTATTTATGCAAAAGATATGAAAAATTATGATTGTTTTGTTTAAATTTTTAGGCCTTTTAAGTTTTAAGGTCTAATTGTTGTTAAATTGCATAGGGCTTTCGAAATCTCGTGGTCGGGGCAGGCCATGAGTAGAACTATTTTGAAGATCAATATTATCAAGTTCATGTTTACACCGGCCTATCACCAAGTAATGTAAATATCTTCCACGGTTTGAATCAAAATCAAAATTGAAAAATCGAGAGCAAGTAAGAACCGTTGATCATCGTCTAAATTCACCGACTAACTCTTTAATTCAGATATTAGCGAATAAAACCATCTTAAAAGCCAACTTTTCAAGTATTTGCAAAAGGAGAATTGCATAATGCACAACCAAAATGACACACGCAACACCGATAACAATACTAATAAACTTCAAATCAACATTTTTACATTTGCATTAGTATATAATAGGAAGCTCTTATCAATACATTTTTATCTTCCATAATAAAGAACCAAAAAACAAGAACGAATATCAACTATTAATAATCGATTCAATTCAAAGATTTGTGTATAAAACTCATCCTAAAAAACCCAAATTTCCAAGTATTTGCACAAGGGTAATATACGTCTAACAAAACCCCCATAACAAAATTGCAACAAATAACAATTAAACCCAAGTTTCCCATTTCCCAATTCCCACCTCTTTATCATTCAAGACAAAAAAGAAGTACCAGCATGATTATGATGCAAAAGATTATGAGCAATCGAATCACGAGCTTTCATTGCAATCGAAGATCTCAACCCAATTTCAGGCACCATTTCATCATCATGAAGCTCAAGCATCAACTCAGGATCCACTTCTTCATTCCTCATTTCACATATATTATGCAACACGCAACACGCCCCCAACACCACCGGCAAATCCTGAAGCTTCACCTCCGTTCGTTTCTGCAAACAGGACCACCGCCCTTTCAACCTCCCAAATGCATCCTTCGCCACCCTTTGAATCTCGCCGATCTTTTCGTTGAAAGCATGTTGTGTCCATGTCAGATGGGGTTGCGTGTAGGGTACGAGTACCCAGTCCATTAATGGATACCCACAGCTTCCGACGATCCATACGTCTTTCAGAAGTCCGCCGTTTGCTCTTTGGTGGAGGGCGGATTTCTCGAGCACTTGGTCGTCCGGCATGGAACCCGGCCACCCGATGCAGACGTCGGTGAAGATCCCTCGTGGGTCGACAACTCCTTGAACAGTGATTGAATAAGAAGTTTTTTGGTTTCGTTCTGTGTGTCGTTTGTTGAAGTAGGCGGCGACGCTGATTTTGGGAGCGATGATCGGGATGTGGGTGGTGTACATTGATCCGACGACGTTTGGGATGCCGGACATGGAGGAGAATTCGTTTTTGATTGTTCGTATGGACTCGTCGTCCGGCCATTGAAGGTATTTAGGCATTAAGACGGTTTTAATGGCGGAACATACCTCGAGGACGAGTTTGTGACAGGTGGAGATGCCTAATCCGAATCGCCGGGAAACAAGACGTAAAGGCTCCCCGGTGGCTAGCCTCCATATACAGACGGCGACTCTTTGCCGGACGGGAACTGCGTCGCGTAACATGGTGTTTTCTTTTGCGACTACTGATGTAAGCTCATTGCATATAAGCTCGAATGTATCTTTCCCCATACGAAAAGCTTTTCGGAATTCTTCTTCTGGGAAATCTGGACTGTTGCATTTATCCCACCAATCTTTCGATCTGTTCTTCACCCATAACCTTCTTTGTGGTCCGGCGGGGGCGACGGCGGCGCCGGCGGTAGGATTAGTTTTCTGATTATTATTTTGTAGATCAGCTACGACTACAGCAGAAGCAACCGCTGCATTTGTAGCAACTCTAGACTTTCGTTTTCGAACGCGGGTGGAGTCATCGATAACATCGGAATATTCCTGACATTCGCTCCGGTAATCCAACATGGCTTTGGTTTTCTTCTTATGGTTAGCTTCTAACATCATCTTATCTTCTTCTTGAGCTTTATCCCACTCGAACTTTTCCGATTTCTCTTGCTCTTCAATCAAAAGCAAAGACGTGAGAATCTCCTTCAACCCTTTGGTCTTGACTTCATGTTTCTCTTCTTCTTCATGATCAAGTACTTGTTGGGTTGGTAATGGTAAATCATTCATCTGACCAAGTGTCTCTTGAAGCAAACCAAAGTAATAAGAATACTCACCTGGGAAATCTCCTTCCAGCGTAGATACGTCTGATTTCATATATAGAAGTCAAGGAAAAGAAATGACATAAAATGGAGAAAGTTTGAATGGAGTTCAAGTGTTTGACAAAATGCGTAAAAGAGATGTGAACACAAGAAAGAGAAAGAGATGAAAGATTGAGTTGATTGAGGGATAGATTTATATACGAGTACGTGTGAAAGGAAAAAAGAAACAAAAACCCATCTGATGACGATAACAATTAACAAGAGGAATTAAAGAATATAGAACCAAAATTGATGGAAAGGAAGTGTGAACGCGGATCGAAATTGAAAGAAAAGGAAGATTCGAGGCATGTGTATGACGGTGAAAGGACGCGGTTGGATACTTGGGATTGGTTTTGACTTCTTGTTTTTTAAGAGAGAGAAACTATGTTTTCGTGTGTGTTTTTGTTGTGTTATATGTGTGTGGGGAAGAGACACCACAAAATCCCAAGTTTTATTAAATTAATAAACAACAAGTTGTATTTATTTTGAATAAACATAAACATAAGAATAACAACTTTTTAGTCTACGTGCTTCTTAAAATTATATGATATGGTCTAATTTCAAATACATTGTTATGTGGTTTTGGTTTTATGGTTAGTATTTTTCTTTGGTTTTGATCCATACACTACATGCAGGTCCGACCCAATACCCAATATATGGGTGACTTGAGTTTAGGCCCATGGCAGCAAACTTTTAAAGACATCAAAATAGTCAAGTTATATGTCTTGTATATATTATAATGGCCCAAAAGTTTAGCTCATATGTTGTTATCTCTGTTCTGGACGTAAGAAAGAAACCAACGCGCCAAACAAATGAACAATCATCGATCATGCGCATAGATAAACCAAACGTTGTTGGCTTCATTCGATTGGAGAAATCAATGTGGCACTGCCTACCTAGAACGTCTCCAATAAATAAAAAGTAAGAACGGATTTTTCTATTTTTCACTTCTTGTCGATAAATCGATAGTACATAGTTCCAAAATCTAAATTTCTCATTATCAGTCAACAATTAGTCTCGATATAGCAACGATTTCTTTGGTCCGGTCTAGCATTAAGGTCCGGTTTTCTCTAATATGATCCAGCAAAGCCGATTATGAAGTTCTGATTTAGTGATTCACAGACTTGGGTGTGATTTGTTTTTTGTTGGTTGTTTCATAAATCAAATTTGGGTGAGTTCATTAGAATTTTGCGTTTATTTAGGTTTGACAAATTTTCAAAAATGGTCCATATGGTTTGCAAAAAGTAGCAACTTAAGGATATTTTTCATTAGGGTAACATCAGTGGTGCCTATTATTTGTAAACGTTACATGATTGTTTCTTTTGTCTAACTTTATTAATAATTAACTATTAGTTGTATGCAAAAAGACGTTTATACTCCTTTTATTTATTTTTCATTTTTATTATATTACTTGTAAATAAATTCATATTAAACAATTCTTAAGAGATTAATGTGAAAATAAGGATAACTTTTTATACATAAAATAGCTTCGTCTTTCCTTTACCATCTCCCCACCTCACCGATCAACACATAAAAAGAAGTTCCCGCAGCCATTGTAACTCACCTCTGGCAGTCTTGCATCTCCAACATTCGTGATTCACCTCCTGCTCTCTCGAAACAACACAAGCATTAGAGATGAAAATTGTCAACACCTCTCTATTGGAGCAGGAGAAGCTCTTCTCCCTTCAACTATGTTCAACGAAAAACCGTCATGTGAATCCCTTCTCCCTTCAAACACCATTCACCCTTCTATCCTGTTCAACCAACACCAAGAAATTAGAGATATGTTGACTAGATCATATCACATATGTAGGAATTCCAATTGCTTCATGCCACATCTAAAGTCATTCATGCTCTTTTCATCATCAATGATAAAGTTAATAATATGAGTATCTTCCCAACGACTTCAAAATCGATCTTTCTCTATAGTTTCCTGGTTTGATTTTAGATTACGAGTCTGATTATATGTGTTTAGTTTGGTTGCAGGTCAATTTTTTTTATTTTATTTTGATTGCAAATTTGTATTTTGATTTTGATTGCGGTCATGCCTAATTTTTGTAAATGTTCAAACTGATTTTTGATTTTTGATAAGTACATGTCTGATTTTGATTGAGTATAGGTCTGATTTTTTGAATTGATTAAGTACAATTCTTATTCCGATTCAGTATAAGTCTAATTTTTGGTTTTTATTATGTACAAGTTTGATGTTGGTCATCTAGGTTTGTTTTATGATTATTAGAATATGATTTTAGTTATTAGATATGAATTTACATGTAACACCAAGTTTCGGGTATGTCTCTTTTAAGTATATTATATTTCGAATTTTTGGATTCCTGATGACCACGAAATGGTGATGGAGCCCCACGACGTAGCCATGGACAGTTATTACGTACAGACTAAGTTAGTGTCACGGCGTGGCATCTATTCGCCATGGTGTGGCCGTTGTTTAATGACAAACCTTGATGTGGGGTTTGTGCCCCTATTTAAGGGATGTGATTGCTAGGGTTGCCCACCCTCAACCTCAATCACTCTCCCTTAGTCTCCAAGGGCAAACCCTATCCTTTATTGCTAACCTTTGAGTTTTTGTGGTGTTTGGTGGTGTTTTAAAGAAGAAGAATAAGAGGCCCTTAAGCTTTGTTTCAGCAAACAACTCTCCCCATCCACCTTGTGCACGTTTTCCGGACTCTTGTAAGTCCCCAAGATCCGATTTTTATGCTACTTGTCTCTAGATCTTCCCTTCTATCCCTTAATCTTCATGGTATGAGAATTTGGAAGGTTGGATCTCATAACGTTAGCAACTTTATGGATCCATGTGGTCATCTTAGTGTCATATGGTCCATATCTGAGGATCTATGGAGTTTTGGTCCCATGCTCAAGCTATGAGTTCCTAATTGCCATGTTTTTGCCCTAAAATGGAAACGACATGCATTGGACATGCATGTCCATAAAGCTATGATTTTTATGGTCCATTAGGTGTACGAAACCATTCTAGAAACTTTGGAAGAGTAACTATAACACCTGTAGGTTGAGGAATTTCATGGGAATGATCTGATGATTGTATGGTTGCTTTTCATAATGGTGATGTGCACTCACGGATGAGGATCTGGTTCAGGTTCAGGTGCTGACATCGAGCCGATGGATGATCAGATGCAGGAGTTTATTTCGTCAGATATCACCCACTGTATCTTGGAGAAGACTCTAGTGATTTTCGGTTCGGTCAAGGAGGGAATCTCGAAGATTATGGAGGAGCGTCAGGACGCGTACCGTTCTGGGATTATGGAGCTGCTGGATGAGCGTCACGGGGCCTTTCAAGTCGAGATCACGGCAGAACATTTGGGAGCGCGAACTCCCTCATTTCATGATTTCAAGGCTTATGGAGATCCAGAGTTCTTTGGGGCTAAGGACCCCATTGCTAGAACCCGAGATCGAGAGATTGACTTGGAGCACCTCGGGAAGAGGAAGCCAGAGCAGATTGTGATTGAAGTGGGTTAGACGAAGAGGCTCAGGACTCAGGATTCGGATTTAGGAGGCCAACTGGGTTGGGGTTGTTGTGCCAAGTGTGGGAGGACCCATGAGGGAGGCTATCGGGATACAGGAAGGGGATGTTTCAATTGTGGTCAGAAGGGTCATTTCAGTAGGGATTGCCCTCGGGGATTGGTTCCAATGTGTTTTCACTGCAATCAGGTGGGCCACAAGAATAGTGACTGACCGAGGCTGATGGGTGGAGCAGTGAGTGCACTTGCTCCAGTTACTTTGAGGATCACTAACGATCATGAGGGTGGAACGGAAGCCCCAATAGTGAGGATCCGAGCACTGTAGCTTCGGGCAGGGGAGGCCAGAGTTTCATCAGATGCTATCGCGGGTATGTTATATTTTGTTTTCCTCATGCCTTATTATTCGTATATATGTGCTTTTGAATCATGTGTTTGTATGTTCAAGACATTATCTTCAGTTTAATTTCTCTGTAATTTCCTGGTTAGTAGTATCAAGGGTTGTTATATGCCTTTCTGCATGTCGAGAGTTGTAAGTGGGGCATATCTTGTTAAGTCGGAATTAGATTGTCAGATTTTCTGTTATGGGACATCGGTGGAGCGAATTAGGAGTTCTGCTTGGAATATCAGTAGTCGGATTGGCGTGATTAGTTCAACAATGGGGAGGAGCAAGTGGTAGTGTAAGTTCGTTGACTTTTGGAATTCAGGATAGATGTGGATTGTACGGGATTGACTGGGATTTGAGTGCAAGTGAGTTGCTGCCGTGTCGATATTCTCAAGATGTGAGGGTAGTCCTTGCATCAATATCTTTAAGGAAAATATCTCGTAGAAGTTGGTTGTCCCCTCTTGGGATAACGAAGTTAGAGTGAGAAGTGCTCGCGTCGCTCAGTTTGGATGGTAGTTGTTTATGGAAGGACTCTTGGGTCCGATCGCTACCCTTACTAGGGAAGGAGCGCTATCGAGTGGATGATGAGGATGACCATGTGGGTTTGTTTAGAAGCTAGACTTGCCAAATAAAAATTCAAAATTGTATCAGTCGAATATGTTTAGAATGCATAAATCCTTTAGTGAGTGGGATGCAGGGTGGTGATCCGTCAGTTCTGACAAGGGGGTTCATTATTAGTTTTTTTTAGTAAGGTTGGCAAGGTGTAGCTAAATACAAGTGGGGAAGAACCATTTGTATTTCCAGGAATAGAATCAGGAGCGGAACCAGGAAGAGTTTCGCATCCTAGTCGAGAAAAAAGCCAGTTCAAGTGGTAGTATGGATAGAGTGTAACGCCCCGTTCCTAGTACGCAATTCCTTTTTTATTTATTCAAGTATTTATGTTGAGCTACTCGATGAGTTGGAAGGCTTAACTCGTCGAGTAGATTCTTTAAAGGTCGCGAGATTTAAAAGGTCTACTCGGCGAGTCCAAGCATGGACTCGACGGGTAGGTCTGCCAGGAAGAAATCCTATTCTCGGGGTTTTGCACCCTATTTAAGCATCTTAAACCCCTCTCCTGGACTTCCCTTATCAGCCTCCTTG